CATCTGAGCTCTCAAGAGGTCTCTGGGGATCCACTCGGCTCTTGCAAGCCAAACAAAAATCACACCAGTCCTGAAACGGGATGTGGGTCAGCTCGTGGAGTTCACGCTCTTCAGCACTTGGTTGTCGAGGGACATGTACTGGAACAATGCCCTTGTGCCTATTTTGCTCTCTAAACAACCTGTTGGCCGCGGTGAAGAGCTCTCGATGTTCCATCTTTTGGACCTCTTGGTTGATACGGGTCCAAAGGGCATTCTTGGATCCTCCGCGTCCAACTCCAAGAAACTCGGCCGCTTCTCTCAGTGCTCTCAGTGAACTCCTCTCGCTCAAGTCAGCATTGTTGACCACCAGTGACTCCTTATTCTCAAACATGGGGATTGGGCCGCTCCAAGGATCACCTTCTCCATCCCTCTGCTCGATCTCTTCCGCTGTGACCTCCTGCTCCTCTTGAAGCTCAAAAGGGACACCAGGTTCTGCACCAAACTGAAAATCATCGCTGTCCACGTGAGCTCCTCCGGCTGTTACCGTTTGCTCACCAACAACACTGCCGAAGAAAGAAACTGGCTCCTTCTTACGATGCAGGATGGTCAATGTCTGAGTGTCCATGCCACAGCACTCTGGGATCTCGGCATCAGGCTCCTCTTGGGTGTAGTACCTGTTGCAATACCGAATCAAAGTGGATCTCAACGGCCACCAGTTCAAGTTCCACATGAGCTGGCCATCTACGAAATTTCTGGTCTCGTAGCAAAACTTCATAGGGTTGCCGTCCTTCGTTGTTCGCCATGCTCGAAGTCCATAATGAGTCCAAAAATCATCATTCAACTTCAACACTACCCGGACCACCAACACCTCATCATCATCCAAGGACTTCGAGGTCTCACCTCCACACAGCTCTCCAGGCTCCTGGCAAACCCTGCTGATCGTTCCGTAGAGGGCCAATGAGTTCCTCTTGAAGTGTAGTGGAACTGAACAAGCACCATCTGGAGCTTGTAGATGGACACCTGCTTCTTCAGATCCTGGCATCAGCTTCCATCCTCGTTGCAACAGGCGTCCCAAACTGATCAAGGGACATTGGACTGAAGCCACAACAAAGTCGTCCTCGATGATCACCGTCTCCTGGTCGCCATCGCATTCGATCTGGGCGAGTTTCTTTCCATAGGTCATCAGGCGTCCACCCTGCGCATCCTCCAGCACTGCTCTGCCTGAACCACTTGACCTGCCACAGCTTGCCATCGACTGAGGAAGCAAGCTGATGTCTGCACCTGAGTCCAAGACAATGAGGGTCCTCCGTGAGCAGTCAGTCACAGTGCAGATCTGAAACTTCTCCACCTTCTCCAGATCCTCTTCATGGATGGCATAGCGCACAACCTTCACATCTTGCAACCATCGAGCAGTCCTGTCCAAAGGGCATGGTGATCTCTCAAGATCAGACTCATCTCCAAGGACAAAGTGCACTGTGTTGACCTGGTAATTATCGTCGTAGATCCAGCTTTCACCACCTTCACTCTTCAGATCAAACAGCATGGGTGAGTTGACATCACTCCTTGGAGTTCCCACGTGGTACATCCTCACCTGGCGAACTTGTGGTCGATTGCTCTGGGCTGAAGTTGAAGCTGAAGCCACTGACATCTTTCCACCAGCACTACTTGCAATGTCACTCTCAACTGTCGTGCTGGCAGTCGCATGGCTTTGATTGGTGACTGTTTGGGCTCGGTGTTTGTTGGGACACTCATTGCCCCAGTGACCAACCTGGCCACAGATGCGACAGGTGTTTCTGTCCTGTCCAGAGCCTTTGCCCTTGCCAGTGCCACCAAACTTGCTTTTGCCCTTCTTGCCTCCTTTCTTCCCTTTACCTTTCTTTCCCTTTCCTTTAAAGCTCTTGCCACCTTGCTTGCCGCCATAGCCGAAGGGAAACCAGCCACCTCCTTTCTTATCTTTGCCCTTGAACTTGCCCTTCTGCTTGCCCTTGATTTGACCCACTTGGTCAACTTCCATGGGAACTGGTCCTCCTGAGCTTTGTGCCATCGAGTTCTGAACCATCTTGAGATAGGAGTCACCGCTCCAGGCACGAACATTCTTGTCGAGCAAGACCAACTTGTCCTTGAGTTTCTCATAGTCCACAGTGTCGTCCATCGTCATCTCAAGGTGCCGACGAAGACCTGGTTCAAGGCACCGCAAAACTGTGGACACAACAAGATCATCCGGCATCGGATGTCCAGACGACAGCCTGTATTGCTCAAGGAGTAGATCCAGCTGAAGGAGGTTCTCAAGCATCCCTTTCTCACGAGGAAAGGCGGGAAGATTCATGATTGCTTGTCCGATTGCCATCCTTCTGGGTCTTGCTTTCGGCTGGTACAGGTTCTTCAGGTTCTGCCACACCAAAAACCCGTTCTTCTCACCAGCCTCTGCCCTGACAAGCTGAAGGGCAGGACCACGAATGTACAAAGCCAAAATCGAATACAACCGGTGTGCCATCTCCTTTACCTCCTCGGTTGCAAAGTCAGAGAGTTGACATGGCTCGTCGAGGTTCTCCACATCACGAAGCAAGTCTGAGAACCGATGGTCTCCATAGACAAGCCAGTTGGTGAACTGCTCCTTCCATGACACATACTTCAAAGGATCATCTCCTTCAAGAACATCTGGAGCTTTCAGCACCTTGCTAGCTTCACCGAAGTTGCCATTGTCCTTCTTCCTGCCTTCAAGCCTCTCCATCATGGCCGAAGAAGCTTGGGCAGCCTGCGTAGCCGCTTCTGTCATTTGCATCATCCTGGCAAGCACTTGGCGGGTTTGATCAGCATCCATGGCATTCCCGCTGGACCAAAGTGAAAGGAAGATCACTGCTTTGATCTGTAGTCGATATTGGAACCTTTCACGCAGCTTGCCATTCCATCTTCTGTTCCTTCTGCAGCTCAAGTGGCCCTGACTGAGTACTTTCACCTTCTTGGTCTTCATCTCCTGGATCGTCAAAGTCCTGACTCCCATAGAAAGAAGCACCATGACCAAACTCAAGCACGTTGTTAGGTTGGGCTCAAGGAAGAAAGAAGCAACATGCCATTGGAAGTTCACCTCCGTGTAGTCCATGGCCATGACAAAGTCCGTGCTGTAGTTGAAGCTGTACTCATAGTCCTGAAGGCTTTGGCTGTGCAGCTGCTTCAGGTTCAGGTTCCAATCCTCAACCTGTCGTTGGACAAGGTGCCAATCCTCGCCCTCAAAGCGAAAGCATTGCTGAAGGTCCAGGTGCCAATCCTCAACCTCTGCCAAGCTCTTGTTGTCCTTCTCCAGGATGTAGTTCGACGGGTCATGACTCCCATCGTCATCCAGCATGGTTCCAATCCATGACTTCACCTGCCATCGGGTGGCTCCAATCCACCCAGAACTGGTGGTTCCCATCCACCTCCAGTAGTCACCAAGGGACTCTGTCAGGCCGTTGGTCATCATGAAGTGCAAATCTGGCCATCGTGACAGCTGAGGGTACCCATCCCTCTCATAATCCTTCTTCTCGTAGGCCTCCGCGTTCTCGTCCATGTAGTCCGTGAAGTTCACGTGCTCCTGGTCGTAGAGGAAGTCGTCGATCTGGCAGCCGGTGCTCATCGTCGTCGAAAAGAGGAAGGTGACCACCATGAAGGTCCACCATCGCGCACCCGGCCGCCCCGCGGGAGCCAGCACTTTGGCTGGCTCCGCTACCATGAAAGAAAACATGAAAGCGAAAGTCGCGCCCGTTTTCCTGCGAAGTTCGGGCCACTGCAACGGGCGGTTCAAGTCTCGAAAGTTCCTAACATTTTCATTCTGGGACAGACCCCTAATCACCTTTGTCACTTTAGTGTTCCGACTTGCTTGGCATGGAGAAAAGGCTATGCAATTCGCTGGCTGGTTTAAGTCTGCATACGCATGAGTAGATTTTTTGTGTCATTACCTAAAATGTAACCCGATTTTATTGGAGAGAAAGGTCAAATTTCTGAAACAACACAACTCTCGCTGCCGCTCACCACCTCTTTCATTTGTACAACTTGCAAGATCGTTCATGTCTGGCTGCACGATTTAGCTCAAGCGTGTGTGGCGCATTCCCTTCGGCCACACTGCCCGCGTGCGGGCGCGGAGGCCTTTTTCGCCTCCACTGTTGGATGCTTAGTTGACCAACGCTTGCAGTTCAGGTGTTCGTCATGGTGTTATGTCCCAAACAACATGGTGTATTTTAAACTTATGTCATGGCGGATTGATGTTTTCTTGCTGGTTTGGAGGTCCTGTCCGAGAGCGACAATTCACGTGCCCCCTGGGTTTATACAGGTGAACCAAAGCAGCCGGAATTGTCATGGATTAAAGTTAATGAAGTAATATGTCACAGATAGCCAGGTATCCTCAGTTACCAGCTTGAGCAGCCCTCTTTGTCCGAGTACCAGCGGCCAGAGGCCAGAGGTGTTCGGTGTTTAGGCTTGCGAGATGCGTCATGTTATTCATACTGCAATGGTGTAAGTTGAAGTATGCAGAGATGACAATAGTTTTGGAGAAAAAGATGTATCTTGTCACCAGTCACCTTCCACTTTCTTGCTCAAAGTACGTGGCAAGATCCCCAGGGAGAGCGTTGATCTGTGCGGAGTTTATTTGTCTTGAGGCGCTGCAAGCCAAGTTTTCACCTTACAAGGCCCGTCTTCCAGATTTTTGGGCTGGTTGCACAAGGATTCGGGGTGGATAACAACATGTACTAGTGGACCTATGAGAGAATGTGTCGGAGCGAGTGAAGGGAGCAAAAGACCTGATTTGAACATTTACTTGAGAAAGATGTGCAGCAGTGTAGACAATGTAATTTCGCTTGCGCAAAGTGAAGGCCGATACAGCTGTGTTTGAGCATTCCGGAAATCAACCTCCGGCGTTGCATTGAATTTGGTATCCGTTTGACGGTACTATACATCTTAGACTGACAGGAGACACAGCTGATGCAAATCCACGAAGGCACTACCTCACACCAAGGGCTTGAACAGTAGCACACTGCTTCGAGGGACCAGCAATGGCGGTCCGCTTTCCTGGCTTTTCTGCCAACCTTGCCATGCTCTTCCAGGACTCCAGTTCTGTGTGGACATCTCCAGCTGTGGTGACCCTACCAAAAGGCATTCCCAATTTCCTTCTCAAAGCCACAAAAAAACCAACAAATAGGCAAACCTCTGGCTTGGGAAACGATCGAACACATTCGAACAGTGTGAGTTGTGCAGGGTAGTGTAAGAATTCGTGTAAAGGATATGTCAAGAGGCTGGTAACGAACGAAGAGAGTCCCCACATGTTCGATCGAGGAGGTGCCATTCTTGCAGCGCTTTGCTCGTGCGCGACGAGCGGGCTTCAATGCCGTTGAGATCTCCAGCAACGAGCTTTTTGCGCATCCACCAGACGAGGATGGGATGTTCTAATAATTTTCAGCATGTTTTTTTTTGTATGAACGCAATGACCTCCTCATAGCTGTGGTGACACCTCTATGAGAAAAAAGGTTTGTTGAGTGGAATAATTGGAAACTAAGTTAAACAAAGGCAGCTCAGCATTCTTCAGAAGCACTTGATACGCTGCGAGGTCAGGAGCTGTTTGGATGCTGAGGGTTTGGAATGCGTTCTTTTCAACCTACCAGTCATGGCCTTGGCACCTTACACCCTTTCGAGATGCCAAAGGGCTTGAGCTCGGTTGGATCCAAGTTGCACCTAGTACTGCCAACTGTCACAAGACACTTCGACAGCAGGTTGTTTTTTCACTTTCCAAGTCGGACTCCTTCGGATGGGAAGAGCTCCTTTCCAAGGCTGGTGACTGGCGCCAAGGAGACCGTGGCTTGGCTTCCCTGGACCGTCCCAAGGAGTTCTTGGCCTCGCTCCAGCAAGGGGCCGAATATGCACAGAGGCACAAAGGGACGACATGTACTGCAGCCGTACCTGTGTGGGATCGCCGAACGTTCGATCTTTTTTTTGTTTAGATCTTGTGTTCAACAATGGTGAAACGCATGAAATCAGCTGGTTCAACTCTGGTGGCACTGCCTCAAAGGAGGTTGAGAACTGGTTCGACTTTTGGGCTTTGCCGACTTTTGGGAGGCTGAAGTGCCCTCGAGTTCATTGTCTAGCGGGCCTGAATGGCTCTGCAGAGCTCTACCGATCCAATCTTCGAAAAGCGGTGGAATTCTTGGGCCCGGATGTGGAGGCTGAGCTCTCTTGTTCAAAGATAGCCGTTGGATGAGTTTTCTCTTCTTTCTTATAGCTTCTCCATTCACAAGAAAAGTCCGGCTGGAAGCGATGGTCTGATTCGGTATGATGGTCTTCCAGCCGTTTTGTGTGCCCAGTCAGGTTTTGATCGAACCCATCAACCAAAGAAGCATGTGACTTTGCTGGATGCAATAGCTTTCTTTTTGAGGTGATTGTCCCGCGTACATCTGGGTACTGAGGCCAGGTTACCATCTGGCATCATTTGCGGAAGCTGCAGACATCATTGCGGATATTGCTGGACAGTCAGACAAGCCTTTAAAGCTGCTCTTTGATGTCTTTCACTGCCAGATTCTACATGGCCTCTTGACTTCAAGAATAGATGTGTGAGGGGAAGTCCACGAAACAGAGAACAACTGTAGCAACAACCATTGAAACTTGTCAGGGAAGCATTTGGCCTCAGCTCAGGAGATCTGAGTACGAATATGAGGAAGTACTCCGCCACTGGGCTCTAAGTGGCTCGAAACGACTGACTAGCACCATCCTTTTGCAGAAAATTGATAGCACAATGGCAGGACCCCCCCAAAAAAATAAGCACAAAGAGATCCATTGCTCCATGATTCGAAGGTGCACATGAAGACGACTTGTTTTGAGAGTTCTCTCTCCACCCTCTCCGCAGCTCTGCGACCCAGCTCTCCAGATCTTGTTTGTCCCTTGGGGGATGGACCACATCTCAGTGTCCATGGCAACCTCACGGTCTGCACAGACATCCACGCGCCCAGGATCACATTGGACATGTGCAGGTGGCTGGTGTGCCTGACCGAGGAGAGCCTGATGCAAGGTGAGGCTAGTTTGACTTTGTTTCAATGAGTTTGTCAATCATGATTCTCTTCAAACAAGAAAGGTTTTATAGCTTGAGTTAAACACTCTGGCTATTCTGCCTGTTCTGCCTCTTTGATAGAGTCGAAGTCTGTCACGTAGAACCCAGAGTTGGTCAGAGCAGAAGCTTCCATTTTCCCAAGAACGCATTCTTTCCACAATCGATTCTGTGCGATAGGCCACAAAAAAGGCTCTTGTAGACTTTGATCGCCAGGCAAGAAGTCAACTTCAGGTATCTCTTTGATCTTCTACGAAATGAACTGGTCAGCTCGGCTCTGACACAGTCGGTTACTCTCGAAGTTTTCTTCGCGTCGACTGATCAGATATGATATACCCATATACCAAGGAGTTTTTCTGCAGCGTTTTCTGTGGAAGCTCGTAAGTTTATGGTTGTATACTGTATGTACTACTTGAATAGGCTTTCCTGCAGGTTCAAGGGATCCTTTCCTGATGGACTCACAATCACCAGAATGAAGGCTTTTACTGTAAATACCCTTCAGAGTCACTGCCTAATGTATCATTGTTGTTTGCCCTGCTTCGCCAGGGCTATCAGGGACATATTGGCTGTGAATACCACCCCCGCGGAGAGACAGAGGATGGCCTAAAGTGGCTAGAAGAAGTGGTGGCAGAGTGATAGCTGTCACGCGCGTACGGAGCCAGGGTCATCCTGTTTGGGGGCACAGTTCACATGTATGTGGCTGCGATCCTTTTTGAATGCCTGACAGATTCTTTGCGAGTGCTTTGACATTTGAATCGGGGTGAGGAAGAATAGCTTCCAAGACCCCTCCGCCGGCACAGCAAAAGTACCAGAGTGTCTCCAGAGCGTCCATTGCTCTTAGGTTGGAGGCCTTCGCTAGTAGGTTGGAGCCCATCGCTATTAGGATGGAGGCCGTTGCCATTAGGTTTCTTAAAGTCCTTTTTTCTTAAAGTCTTGTTTGAGTCCAACTGCGCAACTATGCAACTGACGGCCGTCGGCCCTGTCAGCCACCCGCCTGTCCAGGTCCATTGACCTCAGCTGGGAGCTGAGTTGCACACTCTGTTTGACCCGGTCACCGGATCTCTAGAGTGTACCAATGCGAACGGCTCTTGTGCTCCAAAAAGTGGATATGGCAAAGAAGAGACCTGGGTTTAGTGACTTCACTCGGAAGAATTGTCCGAATGCCAGAAAGCAGGATGCTTCGCCAAATGAAGCTGATTCTGTGCTGGGTCAGAGCCTCACTCGTGCTGGGTTTGCGCTTCTGATTTTTGTAGTGTTTAATTGAAGCGTGCACCACCTGTTACAGCGTTGTTTAATGGCCTAACTGCCTTGGGCTCAGGAACTATGATATTGATCAGATTGTAGGGTCCAGCTTCACCAGCATATCTTAGGATTTTTGGGTTGGGAGGAATCAGACAGCTGGGAGGTGACCTTGCCATGGCGGGCTCTCTTTTGGCAGATCTCTCACGAATGGGCTCTGAGAATGCCTTCACAGATCTCTTGTTGACGGCACAAGGAGGCCGCAGGGCTAAAGGCTTTCATATCAATATCGTGCTTGATATGTTTGATGGATGTATCTCTGGAGGAAGGCATGTAGGCTGTGTAGGAGTGTGGATAGCATGTTCTTCTCTGATGTTCAATTTTGGTTCCTTGTTCGACTTGGCATGGATCATTGGGCTTGCCGACTTGGACAGCTGTGGCCAAGCCTCACAGGTCACCAGAGGGAGGCCAACTGGTGTCATTCTTGCAGCACGTTCCAACGTTTTCAAGCAGATGTGACCCAGATGCGAGTGGATTAAGTATGTACACTGAACTATATATAGTATAATAAAAAGTATAAATATGAGAATATACATATACATATATTATTTGACATATAAACATGTTTTATTTTATGTAATATGTACACATTAATACTATTTATTTGGTATCTTTTGCCATGAAGATTGACCAAGTGTCATCCTGTTCCAAGGCTCTCCTCAGAGATGCAAGAGGGTCAGCTGCGCTCCGGGAAACGCCATGTGCATCTTCATGAGTCGCCCGAGGTTTTAGACCACTTGCTTGAGTGGTGCTATGCAGATACCTTGCGAGACCTGGACTTGTTGGCCAGCATGGAATTGTTAAAGGCGGCTGACTGCTTCGAGATCAGGGGCCTCCTGCAGAAATGCTCTCAACGTGTCTCCAAGCTCTTGACAGCAGAGCTGCTTCCAGAAGCCATCACATTGGCGCAACAGCTGTCTTGCTCAGAGCTTTGGAAAGCTTTGGCCACATTTGTGGCCAAAGACGAAAAGATACTTTCCAGGTTTTCTGAAGCTCCGTTTGAGCTCCGGTCTTTGGCTCTGTCGGAGCGGAAAAAGATCTTGGAGAAAAACCTTGTAGAGCTCCGCTTACGCCTGGCGCATGTGCCCGCGCCGAGACCCGCCATCGTTTTCTGGCGGCAGAGCTTCTCTGAAGCACAGCAGGACTATTTGGTCCGAGAGGCGCTCGAGTCTCGGACGGAGAGCGTGTCAAAAGCACTCTTCCAAGGTTACAGGGACAATGCTCCTGCACACTTCCGTGAGGCCTGTGCCAGGAGGTGGAAAGACCTTGATGACCAGACCCGATGTGGCTTTGAGGTCAGTGCGCTTGAGGATGAAGAGAAATCCCAGCATTCAAAAGAACACCTCGAGCAACAACTCATAGAGGTTTCGAAGGAGATCAAGTCTGTGATTGCTTTACAAGCAGAACCTGATAAACTGGATAGTGCTGCTGCAGGGTATCCACAGGCCAATAGCTCTCCTGGGTAGACGTTGCACCGGAGGTGTTTCGTGATTGTTGGACATGACGTGGACTCTGTGATCAAGCGCCTGAAGATGTTCGCCAAGTGCCTGCTTGCAAACAGGAACAGACCGCGATGGCTTCTCGTCGATTCAAGATCATGACCACAAAAGGAAGTCCTCGCAGTCTTGGCCTGATTGAGACATTTTCTAAATCGCTCGCCGCTCGCCCTTCAAAGAGGACCAGGTGCTCCATACTAAGAGCAGAATGAGAAAGAGAAGGGCTGATCGACAAGTGGTCGGCGAAGCAGACATGCGGTGATTGATGCTGAGAGAGAAAGAGCTGAAAAAGTGTCTTTTTTTGACAATGTTATTTTGGGTTTAGTTTTTCTGTGCCAAATCAATCTCTGTAGCTCCCGAACCTTTTTGCTACCCCACCATGGCTTTCGGGCAAAGGTTGGCATGGGCAATGCAGCAGTAAGGGCTGCTGGAGGACCTTTGACGCATATTCTATTCAAGAACCAGTCAGCATGACGAACAGCAGTGGAGCATTATGTAAACGCTGACATTGTGCATGGACATGTTCCAATTTTCTAGGACCCGTCACTTTTCAAGTGGAAGTACTCGCCATTGTTTAGGGTTGCTTGGGTTCTTTAGTGAGAGGAGCCTTGCTTGGTGGAAGCTCATCGGCTTGAGCCCACAGACCATGGCTGTGTCCTGTGGAGTGTCGATGCTCCACTCTGCTACATCCATTTTCGTGACTCAGGGGCCTCAGGTAGATGGTGGAGCAGATGTGAGGATGCTAAGAGAGTGACAGAGCATGTTCTGCTGGACAATCTTGACACATTTTCTAATGCCTTGTGAGGTGAACGTTTCTGTATTTGTGAACACATGGTGAAGTTCTGTTGTTTCAAGGCCTGGACACAAGCTGTTCCTGGTGCTAAAGTCCCAGTGGCACAGCTCGGCACTTGGTCTGTTGTCGGAGAAGATTTGCCACTAAGCTTGCTAGCCTACTGGTAGTCTTGAAGATGATCATGAATCATGACACAAGATTATGCAGGTAAAGGTTGGCGACTTTGGTAAAGGTTGGCAGTTATGCCAGAAGAGTGGGCCAACTCTTGAAAGAATGGACATGTGACATGGTCAACTGAGGCAGCGTGTTGAGGCGGGATCTGATGTCCCCCAGACTGCACCAGGCCGGTCTCTTTAGCCGTTGAAATCAGCGAAGCTCAAGCAGCTGATGGAGTCATGAGAAAATTCCATCACCTCGGACCTGATTGCCTTAGTCTTGCTTGCACATCCAATCCTTGTGTTGCATCAATCTCATGTGCCCTTTTGTTTCGATGTTCATTTCAGTTATCATTTGGTCAGGTCCTGCAGCCATAGAGCCATGACCTCAGTTTCGTTTTGTTTGTGAAACTATGCTATGAACAATTTGACACTTCTTAGTGAACACCGCCGACAGCATGTTGAAGGCCATCTGCCTCGCACGACAGCAGCACTAAACCAGAGCCGCCGGATGTGCCAGAATCCATGGGGTGGGAGGCAGGAAAGCTGGTGGTTTGAGTATGCCAAGAATCTGGAATCCTACTGTAACAGAATCTAGACAATTCTTCTTTCTTCAATTTTGAGGATTCCAAGGATTCCAAGGATTCCAACGGGAGTTTCTCCATGTGCTCCACCTGAGTCATCGCCAAATGTCTCCTGGAAGGCACAGTTTGCCTGGGGTCAGCTCCTCAGACGGTCTTGGAGTAACGTCGAACTCGACGCGACACGTCGTTCGCCGTTTGGAGGTCTGTACTATAGCAAACGGGCTTGCTTTGCCAGTGAGTCGGGTGCTGGACCCTGGGCCAGGGTCGCTCAGATAGTCAAGACTTTTGAGATGAGGTTGACTAAGCTGACACCCAAAAGGATGAATAGGTGTTTCTTCTTGACTCTTCTCTGATCGGCTTCAGATGAACGAGTGCTTTCGCTAGTTGATGGTTATCCTTCCTTGTTTACAGTACGATAGGCTGCTTCGTTTGGGCATTGGAGCATTGTGCCTTTGAACGACTTGAGGCTCTTGACCGCAAGGGATCCAGAGCCGGTGTGCCGCAAGAAATGTTGCGGTCGGAGGACTGAAGTAACAAGAAGCTTCGTGCTCCCATTTTGGGCAAGCAGCCAAGCCTACTGAACAACCCAACAAACGAAGAGTTCTTGCCAGGAGCTTTTGGATGTGTCCATTCAAGCAGCCCCTCAAGAAGAGAAACGGAAAAAGCTAGCAGAGCGCGCATGATCCTCAGTGTTCATTTAGCAGGTCTAAGTCTCCACATCTGAGCGGAGTGTGGCTTCTTTTGCCTCCAAGGCTTTGCGCCTCTACTACCATGCAAAATGGTTGGCCGAACGTAATCATGCCACTGCGGCGGAGTGGCGGTATCGGGAGGCAGACGAACCTCCAAGCTCCTGATGCTGCTTATGCTCTCTTTCTGTTTGTTGAAGAAGCCCCTTGTCGTTTGTTAGATGAGAGATATGTAAGATCTGGAAGAAGAACCGGAAATCCATTCATTACATGCGCCAGGCTAGCCGCTTAGCGCTCCAAACCCGGAGGAAGGTTTTGGCCGCCCATGCTCTCGGGCGCTTTGGGTACTTCCTGATCCATTGGAACCGTCGCCATGAGGCAAAGGAGGCAGGGATGAATCTTCTGGCTTTCGGTGGTTAGGTTACAGTAGCTCAGTACATCGTGCTCCACACTATGGGTGTGTCTCTGGGAGAAAACCCTCCAAAGCTTGAAGTAGGGAACATGGACTAAAGACCAGTATATTGTATTTGTGGGGTCTTGCATTTCAAGACATATCAACATGTTTATGATATTGAATAAGTATCCCGTGACTTGACTGAGTGTGACAACTGCAAAGCTGCCGGATTTGCGATATGATGTTTGCACATGTTCGTAGTAGTCAGCGACTTTTTTTCCCATCATTTAGTTGGAGGGTGCACTGGCCGGCCGGCTTTAGCTTTTTAAACCACTTACTGCTCAGTGGAGGTGCTTCGTGAGTCTCGCCGGATCAGCTCCAAGTCAAAAGCTGAGTGGTTGAATGACATTGGGAATGCTGCGAGATGTTTGGTTGGCGGTTTCTCGGTCCGCGGTTTCCAGTTGGTGGAACAATGTTTTTTTTGAATGTGGATCGTCCTCGTGGCGCCAGGTCGAACCCTTTAGCACCATATCTCTTGGGAGTATTGGAGCGGCAGGTCGGCCTGTCTTCCAAACACCTATCTTCTTTGCAAACACCGAGAGTCAACGAGGACGCCGGCGCTGATCTCGAGCGATTGAAAGCTGCTGAGGCGGAGCGGAGTAGTGGTGCGGAGCGGGGAAGCGGTGCTGATTCTTGTGTTCAGGATCTCATCCTTGGCGGAGGTGAGCAGCCTTCGGAGGAGCCATCTTGCTGCTTTCTTCTCCTGTTTTAGGATCCTTATTAGTATATAATAGAAACTAATGTGCGACAAATTCTACTTGGGAGAGCAACTTTATATTCGGCTCTTTTATCGTTATGTGGGAGGAAAGGCGACGGTGTGCTGCGATGCGACTGTTGCACCTTCCTCAGGACCTCGAAGCAGAACGGCAAAAGATGGTGCAAGTGTCGGTCCCCAAGAGGTTGCAACTTTTTTTCTCTGACTGGACACGCCTGGAAGCTTATGCAATTGCTTTGGACATCTCGTTCGGCTCGTGCCTTTACTTTATGACCTTAGGATCCATTACTGGAGAGAGGCTGAAGCCTCACCCAGGCGGGTAAACGAACATCTTGGGACACTGAAGAGAATAGGGGAATGGCAGGCAGAAATTCAGACCGCAGTGCCAGCTGCTGGAATTTTGAATCTGTATGGCTGTATGGCCATGTAACAACAGATTGTCGGCATACCAGAGCAATATATTGTGAACTAGCAGTCGGTGGCTAGATGGTGACGGCCACGTGAGTGTCAACTTCTGTGCGAAATGCATGTACGACAGGAATTGCTTTGCCTCTGCAGATGGAGCTTTTGTGGCGGTTTGTCTACTTGGATGCTTGGCTAGGCCACCATCGCTGTTAGGTTGGAGGCCCTCGCTTTTAGGTGCGAGGCCGTCGCTATTAGGTTGGAGGCCATTGCTATTAGGTGGAGGCCATCGCTATTGGATGGTCTTCCAAAAAAATGTCGGAGCGTGAGCGTGATATGTTTTTCGTTTCAGCTGGCTACATCGTCGATGCACCTCGTGACAATGCTAAGGATACCAAAACTGTGTCGTGCAAAACAGAAAACTAGAACACCCCGTTTTCGCAGATGTTCCTAATTTTTTGGATGTCTTTGGCCTCTCGCGCACGCAACAAGTTAAGAGAAAAGTAGAACGACAAGAAAAGTATCAAAACACGAGAGAATGAAACTAGACAGCATGGTGTTGTCGAGTTTCTTTTTTCAATTTTTGCAGATTTTCATTTCGTGTATTTTTGCGCTTTCGTGCTTTCGTGGTAGTACTCTGTTCGAAAACGCTGTGAGATGTGAATCCCCTAAACTTCGTGAAGTATGGTTCGCCGGATCTTCATTTGTTTCTGTGGCAGTGGAAATGGACCACCAACCTCCAAACTTTGTTTGCAGTCAGGTGCACAAAACGAGAAGTGTACTTGAAACCACTCAGGTGAAACTCGCCATTCGATAAACATCGTTTGGCTCAAGGTTGCGCGGAGAAAAGGATCCGTGCAGCACCACACGACACACCCAACCTTCCCTAGGTTATGAGCCCAACCTGCTGACGGGTTGTGGCCGGTAGAAGTCCACCCTGATTTTTCAGGTTGTTGGTCCCCATGGAGCAGCATCGAAGACGCAAGCAACAGCGCTCTAGGGAGCGAAAAGAAGAAGCTGCCGCAAAGGAGGCTGTTGTGAAGGAGGCTGCCGCTGCTACACCTCGGCTGGAGGTGGGAGTCGCTGACCGAAAGCTCGACGCCTTGATCGAAGAGGAGCTTCGCTCGAGGGCCAAGTCGGTGCCGGCATCGTCGTCCACGGCAGAAATGAAACGTTTGGGAGCTTCCGCTGCGGAGTTGTTGAGGGCACCGCAAGGACCACCTGTGACCTACCATCCTCAACCTGCACAAGAACAAGTACACCAATTGGTGATGGATCCTAGGGGACAGTCGATGGGTTTGGGGCATCTCCAAGAAGCGGTGCGCCACTCGTTTGAAGTTCTGCAGAACGCACTACGAGGACCTCAACAACCGGGTCCAACTCTACTTGATCCACTCCTTCGCCAAGCTGATCAGGGAGTCCCTCATGTGCACGATCATGGAGGTCCTCCAGGGCATGCGTTGGCGGCTGGAACCCCGGTCAGGGATGGGAGATCCGATCGGGATGGATCTATGGTTTCTCCAATGGTGGGATCGGTGGGCCGCGAAGCTCTCCATCCAAGAACGCTGGATCCCTATGCGGCGGCAACTCCGGTGGGGCCTCTCAGCACTGTGAATCCTTTTTGGAGCACTTCACTTCAACAGGCTGCAAAAGGTGAAGGGCATGTACGTATGGCTGAAAGCAGTGGAAAGAAACCTGCACCTTCCAGTCCCGGAGCTGGCGATGTGGAGAAGATCCGAGCTCAGATCTTGCGGGAGGCGGAGGATAAGTTCGCTCGTGAAGTCAAGAGGTTGACTGATGGTGGAGCACCTGGTGATGCTTCGTCCTATGCCTCGGCCGCGAGCGCTGGTATTGGTGATGGAGGCCGTGCTCTACCTGAACCTCCTGGACTACCTCCTGGTGATCCTGTGGGCGCGGGAGTTCCGCCATGCACCAAACCTGACCTTCCTCCAGGACTTCATGCTGGACGACCTCAAGGTGACTCTACTCAGCCTCCGGTGATTCCGGAAACCGTGAGGAGCTTGGACCTTCCGAGCTTGCCTCATCCCTCAACTGAAGGAGCTGCACTTCAATATGGAGATTGGTTGACTATGACCTATCCGTTGATGGCAGACCTCTCGGCGACTTCTCAGTTGTGGTGGGATGGATGCTTGGCTGCAGCTGGTGAACTCTATGAGAAGTGGCTCACTGCCACCCCTTTGGAGCGCCTTCGCTTGCGCCCTGTGGAGAACATCGACCCTGTCCACCAACGTGTTGAACAGCGTGGTGTATCGCTCCTCCTGAGCATCTTGCCCGACCAGCTTCGAAGAGATGTGATCGCCAACAGGAAGGTCACAACGGTCAGCATCCTTTTTCGACTTCATGTCCTTTTCCAGCCTGGAGGAGGTGCCGAACGAACTACACTTTTGAAGTGTTTGACGGAAGTGAAAACATCCAACAACATCCAGGACCTCTTGGTGACTACAAGGACCTGGCGACGATGGCTCCAGCGAGCAGAAGAGCTTCGTTTGACCCTGCCTGACCCGTTGATTCTCATGCAGGTGTTGGGGCGCATCATGGACTCCCTGTCGAAATTGGGAGGAAGTCAAGTGGCCTACCGGGTGTCTTCGGTGAGGCAGGAATTGCTGGTGGATCTGAGGCCCGAACTTCAGTCCATCAAAGATCTCAGTGAATACTTGCAGGCGGAGATGGAGGACCTGTCGCTTATGGTGGTGGCCCCAAAGACTTCGGCTACAACATCATCGACTCCGTCTAGCCAGACCGCTGCACCTGTTGTGAAAGCAATGCACTCAAGCCAAGGCCAAGATGAGAAGCCGAGGTCGCCGTGCAGATTTTGGGGCTCTCAGTCCGGGTGTCGGAGGGGGGACACGTGTGGCTATGCGCACTCCTGGGATGGACTGGATCGTCAGCAAAGATGTTTCTTCTGTTCAGGAGAAGGTCACATGATGAAAGATTGTCCTCACCGTCAACAGAGGGGCGCCAAAAGAATGCCAAGGTGAAAGGCGTTGGTGAGGAGGCGTCGAAGGACAGTCCTACCAAGGAAACACAATACAGAAATTCTGAGGCTTCGGGAACTACATCGTCTCCGAGTTCATCGCTCTTGTCATCGCCAACGGTGTCTGGAGGTGGATCGGGAAGAACGGTGGTGGGTCGCCGGAGAAGGAGTTGGGGGGTGACCAAAAGTCAAAGGTTGACTCCGCTTCTGTCCTCCTTGATGAAGCAACAACTCTCCTCAAGACGCTCAGGACCCTGAAAGCGGTTCGCCTGAAACAGGTCTTCGTGGAGCCCGTGAACACAAGTCTTCAAGGTTTTGCACTCCTTGACGGAGGGGCAACACATGCCCTCCGAACTGCACACCCTGATGAAAGGAGCGAGATGACTCCCATCGAGGTTGAACTTGCTACAGGTACTACAGTTTTGTATCGCCATCCAAAGCACCGCACCCTTTTGTCCTTGGAGGAGGTGGAGCCGATCATCCCATTGGGGCTTCTGGTTGAACGGGGCTACAAGGTGGAGTGGCGAAAGACGGGTTGCAGTATCCGTCACCCAACACTCGGTGCGATCGACTGCTGGCTTCGATCTGGCTGCCCGATCATGCATCGTCAACCTGCTTTGGACATGCTCTCCCAGATCGAGCTCGAGGATCGGGGGGAGGTGGCACTTTCTGAGGAGGACCGGCAGTGGTGGCAGAAGCATTTTCCTGAACTACCACACCCTGTTCTTCAACACATGGCTGGACAGAGCCAAGATCCAACTACAACGCCCTGGAACCGGAGAATTCGGAGGGCACACCTCACTGGAAAGGGGGTCATTGTGCACCTATTCAGTGGTCCTGATGTGAAGAAGTGGAATTGTGTTGGCGGAGGAGCATACTCTTGGCTGTGCATTGACACGGAGATCAACTCCTCATTGAACCTGCACAACCCGGCCGTTTGGGGCTATTTGTGGAAGCTGGCGTCTTTGGGACGCATCGTTGCAATTGTTGGAGGTCCTCCCTGCAGGACCGTGAGTCGCCTTCGAAACCGGTCACCACCAGGACCTCGTCGCCTTCGTGGTCGAGGAGAAGATCGCTGGTGCCTCAATGACCTCTCGGAGGAGGAACTTCGCCTGGTTCATGGCGATACAGCTTTGTGCATGAAGCACATGGGTCTATGGATCCGAGCTCAAGAATGCCGCAGAACATCGACGAATGTTGGCATGCTGTTGGAATCACCGCGAGATCCTGCTGAATATCTTGCCGGTGAAGAAGGTGGGCAAAGCGCTTCTTTCTGGTGCTTCCCGGAGCTGATGGCTTGGGTTGGAACTGCTGGCCTTCGCTTGGTCACTTTCGATCAAGGAAAGCTGGGTCACCAGAGGAAAAAACCTACGACAGTTTTGACTAACCTTCCTGCCTTCCAAGAACTACATGGCCTCCAAGGCGATGGTTGTGATGACAGACCACTCCCGTCGAACCTCGGTGACCGCATTCGCACTTCGAAGACCTGGGCAGCATGGGCGCCAGGCCTTGTGGGAGCGATTCAAGAAGCTTTGAGGAGGTTGCTTGGCGTTTTGGAGGAGGAAAAGGGGGCTGGAGGTGGTCGCCATGTCTCCAAAATGGACCTTGCAGCTTGGCATCGACATATCAAACAGGGTCACATCCCCTTTCGTGCTGACTGCCGCATTTGTGGGGAAGCTATGGGCTGCGACAAACCACACAAGAGGCTTGGGGGGAGCGCCACGAAGTTCACTATGTCAGCCGACCTTTGTGGACCGTTTCCTGAAGGGAAAGATTTGGGCACAGGAGTCATTTGCAAGTACGCACTGGTCTCAACTGTGGCCGTCCCCATCATCTCTGAGCTTCCAGGTGAGGTTACTGAGCCATGCGACACCGCCAAGGATGTGGAGCGCACGGAGGAGATTCCCTGCGAGCCAGAAGACCGTGACCTAGTCCCTGAAGATGAAGTCCGGAGGCTCAACGAAATGGCTGAGATTGAGAAGTCTCAAGAACCTCAAGGACATCAAAATGTCACCCTGGCTGAAGTGATCCCTGATCGCACGGTGGAGTCACTGGTCCGTGCTTTGTCCCGCTTGCACGCCAAGTACCGCATGCTGGGCATCCAGGTCTACAGATTGCACACAGATCGTGAACGATCATTTGCTTCAGCACCAATTCAGAAGTGGTGTGAACAGCGACAGATTCGCTTGACTATGACGGCTGGCGATGATTCCAAGGCCAATGGCCGTGTTGAAGGAGAAGTGAACCAACTCAAGCGCCGCACCAGGTTGTTCCTTCATGATGCTGGACTACCTCACTCCTTCTGGCCAGTTGCCCTTCGCCATGCTGCCGAACAGCGTGTTCGACTACAACTTGAACGACTCGGGCTGGAAAGTCCTCCTATGCTTCGATTCGGAGCATCAGTTTTGGTCAAATCCAAACGATGGCATCGTGCAGGTCAGCTCTCTATGCCATACCGAACTATGCAACTCCTTGGTCCCTGCCCATACATGTCGCATGGCTGGATTGTCCGGGACAAGAAGGGCCAATTGTTGCACGTGCGCACTGCACTTGAACCATCGCCGGTAGCCGATCAGGCGATCATGGAACTCCAAGAGGTGCCTGCCGTGAAGCATCGCATCACTGGAAAACACCCACCTCCACTACCTGACCATCCACTGGCTGGCCGCGTGGGAGCGCTCTATGAGAAGTCAGTTCCAGCTCTATCAACTTGTAGAGCTGGGGGGGAGGACTCTCTGGATTCTTTGGACTGGTCTTCATCGTTGGATGTTGGCAAGTCGCTTTCTGTCAGGCTTGAGCCACAGGGGGAGTTGGAGGAGGTGAATGGTGGCCACGAACTACATGATAAGGTTGAACCTGGTGATGAACTTTTGCACCATGACCTTCAGGGGGAGGTCGAAGATCCACTGCTGTGTGATTGGCAGCAGGTGGAAAAGTGGCATGAGCTAGAACAACGGCGACACTGGGCGCTCAAACAGCTTTGGTGTCAAGGCCTTCGTGAAGTTGCAGTTGGTGAGAACTCCGGCAGTGTCCATGGCAGCTGGCTTCATGAAGTTGAACTACTCCTCAAGGGTGCTGAAGATCAACTGTCGTTTCAGCACTCTGCAATCGAGAACTTCAAGCTGTCGGCATTGGCTCCATCAATGGGAACCCCAGATGCTCCAGCAACAGTGCTTCAGACCTATACGGTCTCACTACAGCAAGTTCGCAGGGAATTGGAAAAATGGAAACCTCCTCTGCGTGATGAATATAGGCAGCTGGTGTCCTCAACTCAGGCAATCAAGCCTACTACAGAGGAAAAGTTGCGCCTGGATCCAAGGTTTCCCACCATGGAGCTGGCTCCAGCGATGCTTGTTCCTACAGTCAAAAGTCCTCATGGACGTCTTCGAGCTCGGGTGGTCATTTGTGGAAACCATCTCACCAAGGTCAACGAAGAGAGCAACAACTCTGCAGGTGAGACTCAGCCCAAGGACTCAAACCCGTTCTCGCTCTATGCAGGTGGAGCAGATGGAACTACGTTGCGCTGCTTGATGAAATGTGCGGCTGAAAACTCGTGGTCAGTCGGCACGGTGGACATCAAAACAGCCTTCCTTCTTGCGCCACGACCTGACGAACAGGAACGTCTGCTAGTCGCTCGTCCACCAAAGGTGTTAATTGAAGCTGGAATTTGCGACGCTGCGGAACTTTGGGAGATCTCGCATGCCGTCTACGGGCTGAACGATGCTCCAGCAAATTGGTCGCAGTACCGTGACCGTGAACTACCTCAACTGCGCTTCTCGGCAGGAGGTCATGACTACCAGCTGGTGTCCACACCGGAGCCAAACCTTTGGAAGTTGATCAAAACCGACCCTGGTGCTCTTCCGCAGGAGGACAACTCTGAAGGCTTCCTCGCTGTGTACGTTGATGACATGCTTGTTGCTGCACCAGGTCCCTTGGCAAAGTCGGTGATCGATGGGATCAGGGCTCATTGGCGGTGTTCGGAACCAGAGTGGGCGACGGCAGAAAAGGCCATCAAGTTTTGTGGCTTTGAGATCAGCTGCAGCGACGATGCGGTGATCCTCAACCAGGCCTCATACACTCGAGATCTTTTGTCTCGCCATGAAGGCATCAAACCACGTCAAACGCCTCTTCCTTTGGGAGTTCAAGATGAAGTTGAAGCTGATGTGCAAATCTCCCAAGTCCGACGAGCTCAAGCTTTGGTCGGAGAACTTCTTTGGTTGAGTGGCCGCACAAGACCAGATCTTTGCTACGGTGTCTCCATCATGGGACGTTTGGTGACGAAAGCGCCGACTAAGGTTCTGGAGTGGGGTGCTCACATGTTGGGCTACTTGCAGCATACAGTGGACTACGAGCTTCGCTACACCAAGCAGGTGGTTGAGTCGTCCCTCGACGATTGTGATGCTGCCAAAAAGCCCTGCCTGAAAGTGTATTCAGATGCTTCTCATGGACCCCAAGGAGGACGAGGACAGCAAGGTCTTTTGGTGACCTACAATGGCTCTCCAGTGCAGTGGGAGAGCAAACAACAACCATTTGCAACTCTTTCAAGCGCTGAGGCCGAGCTGATGGGCTACGTTGATGGAGTCGTCATCGGAGAGTCAGTCGCCTCAGTGGTCAATGTGCTGGAGGACAATCGTCTTCATCTCCAAGGCCAACAGGTCCTTTGCGGTGACTCTCAAACCGGCTTGAAGATTTTGGTCGCCCCGGATGGACCCTGGAGAACAATACACCTTCGCTTGAGGGCGTTCGTTGTGAAGGAACGCATTCAGCAGAGCTGCTGGAAAACCCAACATGTTCCAGGCGCCGAACTTGCCTCAGACCTGCTCACCAAACCAATCGTCAACCCGACGCTGTGGCAGAACTTTTACACCTTCATTGGAGCTCGTGTGTTGTCCAAGGATGTTGACCGAGCTCCAGGTGCATCGCTGTCCAAGTCAAGGTTGATGGCTATTCTGGGCGGCATCATTGGCATGGCGGCATGGAACCCTTCGCAGGAAAGTCACAAGGTGGCGAGATGTGTCACCATCTCAGCTTTGGTAGCTGCGCTTGCAATTTGGTGGAAAAAAGATACAAAAGACCCCACAAAGACCAATGGGCACCTGACGGTCGATTCGCGGGCGGGGGCACCCATGGGAAGCGAATCGGTCGAAACAAGAAAGTCAAGATCGGTGAGGGAAAATGAACCCACCGCACGGGAGGGGTTGGGGGGGGTTGGGACCTAGCCTAAATGGCTATACCTTGGCTGCGTCTCGTGCGTGCGATCATGGCGTGCGGCTGGCTGCGCTTGGGGCTCGCGCTGGGCCGGAGCAGCCGGAAGAGCGGGTTTGGGAGTGGTTCCCATTCCAGCTCCCTCCGCAAGGCCGCGACCGCTGGGGGCGATTGCGCTATGGATGGTGGGTGAGGCATCATGTGAAGCCTCGAAAACGACCTTTCCACCCACTACACAGGATGACGCCCTTCAACAGTGCATCCATCCGACACCAAAGGGTGACTGTTGTTTGGCACCATGGAGAGAAAACCATCTTCTACGACGACTGGAGGAGTGGTATTGGCCCTGTCTTGCCTGACCAGGATCAATGGGTGGGATACACCTTTTTCCGGGAGATTCCGTCCCCAGACAACAGCTTGGGACAAACAACGACTTCCACCGATCCACCGACGAGCAGCTCAGGTCCACCTCCAGTTGATGACACGCTGGAACCACCCCAACGACGGGCGACTTTGGATTCGGTGGCAGAGAACTCCACTGGTACTCCATCGTCTGAACAGGTGGAATTTCCGACGGCCAATGTGACCTGGGTGAGAACTGAAGTGCATTCGGTGAGGAGGACTTCATCGTCATCGTCCTCTGCACCTTCACAGACCTCTCCCAGCACAAGGTCCAGTGCGACTGGATCTACGGCAGCGGCTCGGGGCTCAGACGCCATTGATGCTGGCGTGACCCTTGGCTACATGGGGCGACTTGGCGGCTACCTCTCTCGCGGGGAGAACCTGCGATCTGGGCCGGCGTCGAGCGCCACAGAAAGTGAAAGTGAAAGGGAAGATTGGAGGAGGAATTTAGATGTGAGCTCAACCAGCTCAGTTCAGGGGCACGAAACGACACTACCTCCTGGACTTCCTCCTCTACACGAACACTTGGATGAGGTGCCACAATGGATGGGCATTGTGAGCCAACTCCCAGTGAGGCAGCGTGGTGTGCCGGGTCAAAGTGACCATTTGAGGGATCCTGATTCGGATTCAGACGGCAGCTATGAATTTGTGGTTGAAAAACCACTCGAAATGTGGTCGAAGGATCACTTTCTTTTTCCCTGAAGTTTGACCATACGATGGTCAGGGGGAGTGTGGCAGTGGAAATGGACCACCAACCTCCAAACTTTGTTTGCAGTCAGGTGCACAAAACGAGAAGTGTACTTGAAACCACTCAGGTGAAACTCGCCATTCGATAAACATCGTTTGGCTCAAGGTTGCGCGGAGAAAAGGATCCGTGCAGCACCACACGACACCCAACCTTCCCTAGTTTCAAACAGATTGCACGTGTTGACCAACTTGTTGCCATGTTTTTGAACTTCCATATGTCCATTGACGATTGGATCGTGGGAGAGTCTTAACAGCAACCTGAGAACGCTCTAAAGCCTGCAAGAGTCTGAGAGATGGCTGCAAGACTTCTTCATAGATCTCCATCTAGTATTCTACCACCATCCTCAACATCGTGCTCATGGCCGACACCGACGCGAGCGTGGAGATGTCTTGAGTCCCGCTGCAGAAACCGGGCATGCCATCGGCAGAACTTTGGAACCGACCAAGCACCATTTGTTGGGTACTCATCTCCAGGTAATGTGGATAGTTTGGCCACTAAAGATTGATTTACCCAATAGACCTGAATCGCAACAACGGGACCTAATAGATAGATCACACTTTTAAAAAATTGGGACATTTACCCCGTTCTCGACATCGACCATTTTTCCGTTTTCGCGTTTTCACATTCGACTTCGCAGAATCAAGACACACATTCCGATGCTTGACCCGGGCCGGCCCTAGGACATCTCTTCCAGCGATAGGCAGGACAAGTCGCATGCGATGGACATGTCGTCAGTTTTTGAACTGAAAGATTGGCCACATGAAATTTTGGTTGCCTCACGTTGCGCCAAAACTGCCCAAGCTCCTCGGTCCTCAATTCCTCATCACCTGCAGATGCTTTTCTCTCCAGGCTTGGAGATGTCTACTCCATATTTGTTTCACGGGATTTTTACCCTTTCCCCATTTCGTGCCAACCGGTCTGCGGTGCCCAGCTGCAAAAGGTGCCGTCTAGAGGGCAGACCGAAGAACCGAGAGGGGTTCGGGGCATTGTCCATTTTCATGGATGGACATCCAAGATGTGCTCTTTGTCATATGCTTTAAACTTTTAACAATTGTGTGATCTGGAATCTTGAAGGCTTGAATGATCCAGATTCCTTCTTCTTTGCACAAAGTACTTTGGATGATCTTGAGGCCTCAAAGAGGCTCCTTAGGCCCTTGTCAGACCTGTCCATGCTTTTCTTCTCGCCTCTTTGCCGCGGCTTCAGCTTGTACAAAGTTGCGACTGGATTCAATCCTCCCCCTAAAAGCAATCATTCGATGATATCCACGCCGAGGCGAAAGAATTATCCAGCCGCCTCATGCAGAAAGCAACACAGTTGGCCATCATCTAGGAATCTAGGATTTCACGAGGGAGTGCCGTGCACGGCACGTTCTGGTGAACTCCAGATTGCTCTGTTTTGCTGCTAGTTCTAGGTGTCAATTTTGAGGGATGGTCAAAAGCCTTTTGTCCCCAGCCTACTTAGCTCGAGCTTGGGCTCCGGTGCTTCATGGAAGGCTGCCTGCGAAATCCCCAGGCCGAACAGACGCAAAAACCGAGCTCGCGACCGATAGGGACCGAGTACTTGCGACCTGCCCGGAATGGATTGATGGATGTTGATTCATTCCTTCTGTTTGGAGTTCTTTTGGTGCATCTCTTGGTTTCTCCCCAAACATCAAAGAAACCAAAGGTGCTATTGTGGCCAGGTTCGCTCACGAGATGCGGATTTGTCATGGGTAGGGAGCCCTGGAGCACGAAGGCAGAGGTAAGTTTGTGATGGCGGGTGATTAAAATTATTAGCCAACTGAATATTCAGTGGCGCGTATGTATCGAAATGGGACCGGGAACACCTTGCTGTATTGCAAGATGATCTTGCGTAGCTCCAATTTGTCCATGCATCCAGGAGAGAGCGTTCCCCGGTTAGGAACGATCCATATACAGTATATGCATATTATATATTATATAATAGACAGGTGCGACAACCATGTTTGTTACTACGATGTTTTTTTCAGGCCTTCATGAGGACTTGGAAGTGCTTTCCCTCCGGTGGTGACTTGGAACTAGTTCAGTCCAAGCTAGGGCTGACACGCTGTGCCCCAGAGACCTGGAAGGCTGCAGCTGTTTGCCTCGTGCCATTCTTCTGCTTACAGCGGAAGCGCACCGAGACCGGGTGAGCGGAGATCGGCCGTGAGGCTAGACGCTTCACATCGTACACGGATGTCAGGACATCGATGAGCACCAGAGCATATGGCTTGCCAACTCCGTCTCCACGGTGAAAGATGATGAGCACACACGGGATGAAGTCAGGTGGAGAACAGGATCGACATTTCGGCATGAGGTCCCGTTTGTGAGAGATGTTTGCCAATGGCTCGTCCATGTTACTAGTAGTAATGCCCTTTGTTACTAGTCGATGCCCTTGTTACTAGTAGCTTCTAGCTACTAGTGGTAAGAATGCTCCTAGTAGCGATGCCAGGAGCCCCTAGTAGCGTTCTTGCTCCCAGTAGTAAGGCCAGGAGCCCCTAGTAGCTTCTAGCTACTTCGGCTACTTGGCTTCACCCCTGCCAACTCTGTGCTTCGTCGCCCAGGTTGGCAGGGGAAGTGCTCGAAGTCGACTCCGAGTATCGAAAGCCGCTGGATTTGGTGAGGCCATCGGCTACTCAACGCTTCGGGATGGGCCACCGAGCAACAGTCTTACACGCATGACTTGAATAAGTAAAGGCCCTCCTGCCGCAGGAACTGCCACTTATATTCTCTCGATGTTTTTCCACCTTCGTCGGGTCATAGCATGGACTCGGCTCGAGCTGTCGGAGCCGGCGCCGCTTTGGCGCTCTCTTTTTTGGAGCGCGAACTTAGTCCTTTTTCGCCATACTGCGCTGAGCTTTGGTTTCTGGACCCTTGGTCTTTCCTGGCAGGGATCTTGGTTGGATTTTGTTTGTTCCCCATCGTGGAAGTGCTGCTGGCTTTGAGAGCCTATTTGGTCAGGTTCCTGCTGGTTCGTTCGGGACCGGGTGCACGTCCAAGACAGCTCTATCGCCTACTTTGATGCACACCAACTCCAGGTCTGGTCCAGAGGCTTTTCCCTTAGAAGACCAGGTGCAGCTCCTAAAGAGTGAGGTTGAGAGCTTGAGGAATTTGCTTGCAGCCACCCGTAGGCTGATCGTGACCGACTTGCAGGACAGATCCGACATCGGGACATTCAGTTTGGTTTCTGAGGTGAAGTTATCTGAGGCTGACCTTGAAGCCGATCGCATTCGTTCCGCAGGTGATCCATCAGCCCCGAGGCCCAGTTCAGCTCCCCTTCTGGAGTCGACCAGCCGCGAGGCTGCAGCGCAGGCAGTCGGGCGCTTTCTCAGGCGGGCCTTGGACGGTCAGCCCCGAGGAGAGTCCGGCAGGGACAAGATTTCGCAGGCTTCGCGCTACTGGATCGTGGTGAGGGGATTCGATCGTCGTGTTTTTGATCCAGTTCGTGTATTTGGCAAGTGGGCTCCCGCCAAAGAGCTGGTCAAGAGAGGATCGGAACTAGGAGACTCCGTTTTTGTTGGGCTGCCCGCCATCGAGGGCATCAAGTGTGCCTTGCAGGCAGGAGGGTTCACTTGGAGCGGAGTCGTTGAGGGATGAGCGCGTCAGCAGCCGCTGAAGAAGGTGAATTCGACGAAGCTGAAGAAGGCAGCGAAGCTCTGCCCCTTCCCTTTGTTTGGCAAGATTCGAGGGTTGATCGCAACTTCCCTCTTGGCACTTTGACCTTTGCGGCTGGTTCAGCCACCCAGATCATCTTTGTCGCCAAGCTGGAAGGCCAAGTTCTGGCCGCTGTTCCCTTCAGCTCATGGTACCGCAGGCGCAACCAGCGACTGTTGCCTCCAGGCCCTGACCAAAGTCATCAGTGCAGAGGTGGCAACGGCCGAGTCCGAAGACCGAATGGTCTTGCTGCGCGCAGAGAATTTGAAGCTGTGGATGGGGTTCCTTCGAGAAGACCTAGTTACAGAAGTTGCCTTTTTGACTGTGGAGGAGGAGGCGGAGTTGAGCGAAGAAGTACAGATCTTTACTCTGGATGGCTTCAATCAAGCTTGGCCGGCTGCTCAGGCTTTAGTCGATGTCGGCCAGGACCACTTTGCTTTCTTCACAGTCCCGGAGGAGGTTTTTCCTTTGGGGGAAGCTGGACTGGCTGCTCAAGCCGGCGCGGAGGCTCAAGAAGTATGGTGTTCGCGACCTTTCCTCTCGAGTGCTCAAGCTCGAGACAACCATGGACTCTACGGCGGAGGGGATTCAGACTCTGCTCAAGCGAGGCGGGGATTCTCTGCCCCGCCAACCTGCTGCCCGTGTGAAAGATCCTCCAGTGCTGCAATGGTGAAGTCTGCACGGAATGCTGGCATCGACGAGAAAGTCTTGAGAGAAATGCAAGCCCTCATGGCGTCAGCTGCGCCTACCAAGAAGAAGCTCAAGGAGCCGCGTCAAGTGACGCTCAAGCCTGGAGGTCCCCGGATCTGGATCTGCAGGCCCTTCTTCCGACCCCATGGTCGTGGCTGTTGGCAAGCTCACATCAATAGTGGGAAGCTTGGCTGCGGAGAAGGAGAGGAAGAAGAAGCCGGGGCTCGATTCACTGTTAGATGGGGCTCATGGTCTTGGCGACCCAGTTTCTTCCGGAGGAGGCAAGCGATCGAGCATTGCGAGAAGGGCGCTGACGAAGGCTTTGACTCACTCCCCACAAGAGCTCTACATGCTGATCCAGAAGTTGATGGAGGAGGATCTGCAGGGGCGTGTGATGACTCCAAACATGCCAAGGGCGGCGCTCTCCGCTCGCGCCTGGGTCGAACACAGGTCCTACATCGGGCAGTACAAGACTCTGACGCATGCAGCGTGGGGGGTCAGTGGCATCAGAATCATCGATTGCTTGGTTGGCGGCCGGGTCGACGAGGCAAGAGCTCGAGCCAATTTGATGCTTCTGCAACTGGATCAGGTCGCAGCCGATCGAGGGTCGTGGCAACTGGCATCTCTGTTGAGCTTGGAGACTCTGCCGCCCTTCGCCAACCTGGCAACGCATCATCCTCCAGATGTCAGCATGGGAGAACAACCTTTCTCCAAGCTGCTCGATCCTCGGTGGAGCGAAGTTGCACTAGCTCAACTGAAGGAGACCGACGAGTACCTGGAGAAGAGGAAGAAACTGCAGCAGAAAGGCAGCAAGAAGGAAGAAGGAGGAAGCGGCGAGGACTCTCCGTCACCGAAGAGGCGGCCCAAAGCCAAGAGCCAGCCTTTCCGTCGCGGGGAGAACACTGCAACCCCGGATCAGTGACTACGCATGAGGAGCACTCACGCCCGCAGCCTGCGTCCCCTGAACGAGATGTTCAGGCGACAGTTCCTGGCGCGCGAGCGTCGTCCTTGAGGATCAGCTCCGTTGTGAATTCATTGCCGAGATGGCTGCTCAAAACAAAAAGCAAGCTCAGCTCTTTTTGCTTTCAATGCTCCAATGCCCAAGACGCCCGGACAGGGCGTTCACATCCCATCAGCCGCAGAATGTGTGGCCCACGCCTATACCCTTTCCTGAGGCCTTCGCCCACGTATGCACCACCCAGCATTTGCCTTGGTACAAAGTTGACAGCAAAACAGTGGTCAGCAGTATCTACACTGCAGTTTTTGAGTTGGGATGGGAACACACCAGAATTCATTGATTCAGAGATCATGGGCCGTGGAGCTTCGAAGGTTGAATCTTATGAGGATGCCATTGGAGCTCTGCGCCGGGCTATTGTTTCTTCTGATTTTTCGCACTCACGATATTAGGGGCTCCGTTACAAAACCGGAATCCGACTATGCATCTAGCAAGATCCTTGGTGGTTGGTTCAGTTCAGAAGACAGTTGTCAGTCCTGCCAAAGACATTGAAGCAGATAGGCTGGAGTTTCCTTCCCCGCCTTCTTTTGATCCTGTGCCGCTTTTGGACGAAGCAACAGCAGATGTTTACCTCCGTCCTATTCAGACTGGAAGCAGCATGCTGGCCTCGAACGCGCGGCCCCTGCTGTGCATATACGTGCAAGCAGAGTCAACAGGATCAAGTTGTTGCAGAAGCTCCGCGCCACAGGAAGATTGCAGCCTCTCAACAAAGATGATGTTAGGCAGAAGCATGTGTCTGGGCTTTTCGCCGTTCCCAAATCGCTCACAAGGGACCGGCTGATTCTTGATGCAAGACCTGCCAACCTTGTTGGTACTGCTCTGAACAAGTGGTGCAAGACAATGGCCTCTGCTTCAATTCTATGTGACCTTTTGCTTGATGATACTCAGGTGTTGGCTGCTTCTGGCGAAGATCTTCGGGATTTCTTTTATCAGTTCAAGGTGGGCCCTGAGCGGACAGTTCGCAATGCTTTAGCAGATTTTTTGTGTATTGAAGAAGCCTACGAAGTGTTTGGGAGGGATGCCATTCCCTCCACCTGGCAGCCTCCTATTTACTGTGGACTGGCCACGCTGGCTATGGGCGATCAGAATGCTTGTGAGTTCGCTCAGCGCTCACATTTGGCAATGATGTTGAGGGCTGGCGTGCTGGAGGAAGCTGAGATGATATCGCTGCAAGGCGATGTGCCGCGCGGCTTGTTGTCCGTCGGGGTCATCATCGACGACCTAGTGTTGTTGGAAAAGATCCTTGCTGCTTCATGGAACCAGAGCAAAGACGGTCAGCCCACGCAGGCAGACTTGCGGCTGGACAAGGCCGTAGCTGCGTACCGCGAGCACCACCTTGAAGTCAACCTCAAGAAAGAGTCCCGGAACCAGACCCTTGCCCGCTTTTGGGGCGTTGAGCTCGATGGTCAAAAGGGACTGGTGCGTGGATCTTCGCTGCGTCTGTGGCCACTGATCGTGATCACGGCAAGGGTCGCCGTGCTTGGGTTGTGCACAGTGGCCTTGTTGGAGGCTACAGCAGGTTCCTGGATTTCAATACTTGCCGCCCGAAGAAGGCTTTTGTGCGTCGTGAACCTGATTTTTGAGGCTACAGGTATTGAGCAGCAGAACATTGTTTTGAGGCGATCTCCTGAACTGCTTGCAGAACTGTGGACTCTTGTTTGTTTGGGGCCGCTTGCGACCACCAACCTTAGAGCACAGTATCAGCCCTTCAGTACGAGCACCGATGCATCCAGCGGGTGGCTTGCTGCAGTCAGGGCTTCTGTCCCTCGTGCGATCGTGGCTGAGGTGGCAAGACGAGGATTGCGAAAGGGCCGGTGGTCCAAGCTACTGCCAGCTCACCAGGCCTGGTTGCGGTCGCACGGGTTGTTGGGCGAAAGCGAGGAGCTGCCGGGTGATGCCTATGATGCTCGGCCTATCTGGGTTTTGTTAGCTAGATGCCTAACCTATGAAGAACGTTGGAGGAAGCCCGTCGCTAGAGATACACATATTAATATTCTGGAGCTGAGAGCACACCTTTTGGAAGAGCGCAGGCTTGCACAGTGTTTCAGCCACAGCCGTTTCCTCTACGGTCTGGACTCTCAAGTGAGCCTTGGTGCACTTGTTAAAGGACGTGCTGCTTCTAGAGCTCTGAACAGGGAAATGGTCAAGGCCCTCCCCAATGTGATCAGTAGCGACCTCTACAGTTCATACATGTACTACCCTAGCAAGGTCAAGAGAGCCGATGGTCCGACGCGTGATTCGCTGCCTGCTGAACCCGATGTGCCGACGCCGGAGTGGTGGAATGCCGCTGCTGATGGCGACCTCGAGGGTCTTGACGCTTGGCTTAGAGTTGCAGAAGGGGATATCGATCGCCCGGACTTCGACTGTAAAGAACTGTTTGCAGCCGTCATGCCGACCGCTCGCCCTTCTCGTGGGATTTTTAGCCGACTGCGGAAAGACACTTTGGAGAGAGCGCCAATTGCAGTGGCGTGCAGTGAGCCGTCAGCTTTGCCCTCAGAAGCTTTGGAGATTTTGAACTCTTTCCCGAAAGCGCAGTTCCTTTTTCCAAAAAATTTCACTTCCTTCTCGGAACCTGGATGCATTGATTTGTTTTCTGGATCTGTTGGCATAGCCCGAGCGATGATCAGAAACGGGGCGCCTTGGTGCCTCTGCTTTGAGTGGAAGCGATCGGCAAGCGAGAATTCTCTGATCAGGCTGCGAGCGGTGCGATGTTGGGGCGCAGCTCCTATTTGCGCATCTTTTTCAATTGCTGTAACTCCGCCGGTGCGGAGTGCCAAGTTTCCTAGAGGGCTCCCCAATCTGTCCCAGAACATGAAGGTGAAAGTATGGGAGGGGAATGCGCATGCCGATTTTTTGGCAGAGCTCATCACCACCACCGAGCAAACAGACCCTGCCATCATCTTTTGGTTTGAAAACCCAGACACCTCTTGGTTGTGGCGCCAAAAGAAGTTCCACCAGTTTCGACCTGCCGACTTTGATCGTGTTTTTCGTTGTTGCTTCTGCCGATATGGCGCTCCATGGAATAAGAAGCCTACACGTTTTGCAACTAGTTCCCCGACCTTGCGGGGACAGCGCATGATGTGTGCCTGCCGGAACAGCAAGCATGTACAGCTGCGTGGTCGATCTCCGTACGGTAGTCATGGACTCAGGTTGCTGAGCCCTATCCACGCCAGCTTTGTGACTTGATAGCGAAAGCCGTTTGTGGAGATGTTGGTTGGTTGAAGCGTAAAAAGCTTGACATTGCAGGATGCTCCCGTTCTTTGTCACTCCGACCGGGAGAAGCTGTCCGCCCTGGCCCTAAGAAGAGAGGCCAACCGAGAGTTGACGGGTTTGATTCTGTTCAGCTTTCGTCTGCGGCGACGCTACGGCTGGAAAGTGAAGCGCTTGTTCAATTTCTTGATTGGGCGCGCGGCTTTGTTCAAAGTGTTGATGTTGAGCAGCTCATGACAAGTGTGCCCGAGTGTTTGGTTTCTGCCCTCCTAGCATATGGCAAGAAAGAGTATTTGGATGGAGCATCACTCAGCAAGTACAGGCATCTTGTCCTTTGCTGCTAACGTTGGGCGCCGACGGTCAGATTGATGACATCCCCTTGTTGGGACCTCGTTGCCAAGTGGGAGAGCGTTGAACCGGTGTCCCACCGAGTGCCTGTTCCAGAAGGTTTGGTTCGGGCCATGGTTGTTGTCGCTTGGCAGCTTAAATGGTACGGATGGGCTGGCATCACTCTGATAGCTTTTTACGGAGCAGGTAGGGTTGGAGAGGTCCTCAAGTGTTGCAGAGAAGATTTGTTGTTCCCCTCGGACATCCTGGACAAGGACCATGAAGGTTTGTTTCTGAGGCTGCGGCAGTTCAAGTCGCTTGGCAGACAACCTGCTAGAACTCAGCGCATGGAAATCCGGGATGCAGCAGCTGTTTCTTTGCTCAGCAGGATCTTTGAAGGTTTTCCAAGACATCTACGGCTGTACCAAGGTTCACCTTCACTTATAGGCGAAGGTGGAATGCAGTTTGGAGTTTGCGTGGCGTGCCTGCAGAGCTTCGCCTGACCCCGGGCGGGTTGCGCGGTGGCGCAGCCGTAATGTTGTACCGAAAGAGAACGCCCATTCAGGACATCCTCTGGAGATTGCGGCTTAGATCGCAATCTACTCTCGAGAGTTATTTGCAGGAAACAGCTGCCAGCTCAGTGTTTGCAGCCTTGGACGACCGTGTACGAGCTCGCCTTTTTTCGATGGGTCCTCTGTTTGAGTTGCTGGCATTTTGAGTTCCAGGTCCTTTCAGGACTGTCGACGGCTTGCGGTGCAATCCGCCATGCTCGTCGTTGTCTTTTCCACCTGGCCCGCCTTTGCAAAGAGTGGATGGAGCGCCTCTCCTTTTTAAGTTCGAGATGAGGCTTTCGAGTTCCATCAGGTCACGAGCATGTATGGGCGGAGTCAAAACAAAGCAGCTGAAGCAGAGCAAGAAGGGAAGACAAACATTCTCTCGATGTTTTTCCACCTTCGTCGGGTCATAGCATGGCCCCCCCTTGCACTTTCCCCCCCTTGTACTGGCCTAAAGGCCTCTCGGCGCTTGGGGGATGGATGGAGCGCCTCTCCTTTTTTAGTTCGAGATGAGGCTTTTGAGTTCCATCAGGTCACGAGCATGTATAAAAGCAGAGCAAGAAGGGAAGACAAACATATATATAGAAACCTTCTTTGTTTCATGGTTGTGGGACAACATGAAAGGGCATTCTTTGATCTTGTTTCGGGATGCGTCTCTTGTTTGCCAGTCGCGTTGCGGGATTGCAACCTCTGACATTATTAAGTTTTCCACTTTTTTGCGTGCAAAGCCAGGCAACACGCTCGCGAGCGCTGGAATTTGCAGCTGGAGGCCTTGGCAGTGTCACAACTTTCCTGTTCTCTTTATATATACATTATATGATCCAGTTTATAATGAGCTTCCCCAGGGTTCCTTGAGATGACTGGACATTTTGGGAGAGGACAACTGACAGGACAGGTCAAAACTGGGATTATGTTTAGTAACATCTCGATATTGCATAATTTTTAGAGGAAAAAACTATAAAACAGATGGCCAGTGAACATTGTGAAAACATAAAGTGAAATATGTGTTTTGTTTTCAACTCTGATCTTATACAAACAACAGTGGACACGCTCAGTTTATTACGATTATACAGGACAGATCAACATGCACGACATATATATATATATGCATGTATGTATGTATATATATATATTTAAGTATAGTGATCAGAGATGTGTAAAACAATCATCAATTCTATGAAGGTTTGTGGTCTAAGAAATCAACGATGATAGGATCTTACATTCTAGAAGCTTTCTTTCAAACAATTTTTGTATTCAATGAAATATATATATATAGGATATGTTGTCCCAAGGTTTAGTTGAAAGATGTTGGAGGTTTTTTTTCCTACAGCTCACCCTCATCGGAGTAAACAATGCGATCAGTGTGGTTATCGGAGTGTACTGCCCGTTCTGAGCGCGGTCCCCCGTCCGGTCTACGCGGCCACATGCTTCATGATGATGAGAACCAATTGTGGAATAGCAGCAGCAACACAGGATATACACTATATGTCCTATAGATTTAAGGACAAGTATCTCCGGCGGTTTTTTGACTTCAGAAACACTACTTCAATTTGTGCACCCCATCTTATAGTGACCTGGCTTGGCGTCCCTGTGAGTTCAAGATCTCAAAAATTGTAAGTTTCAGAAGTTTATAGTGATTTGTATTTTTTTTTTCACATGCCTAACTTTGTGATTTTGTATAGGCTATTTCTGCTCCCGGCAATTGAACGCCTTCTGATTCATTCAGCCTTGTTTTCTTCATAGGATTTGATTGTCCTGACCTCCAGTGGCAACGTGCTGAGCTAGTGCCCCAGACACATGCCTGTGCAAATGCCATTGCTCTCTAGCTCAGAAGTCAAAGTAGAGGCTGTATTTCCTAAATGGTGGAGTATGGTCAATGTGTTTGGTTCGAGATACGTCCCACTTGCACAGGCGAATGTTGTCCAAAGATTGTGAAAGCGTTTGAGTGAAGGCTTGGAAGACAGAGTGTTTGTTTCTCCCTTTTCCTGGTTTTCTTCTTGAGGTGCGGAGTCCCGCGAAGAGGCCGGAGTTGCGAAGCATTGGTCCCCAGACACGCACACACAGACACAAAGCATCTTGCCAATTGAGTGACCAACAAACTCCTACAGTTGCATTCCCGCGTTTGCATAACCATTACATACAAGCACTTGTGTTAAGTCGTCTGGTCTTGTAGAAAGTCGTCTGGATGTTGCGTTTCCATTGGGGTTAGATGCAAGATGGCAATATAACTGGAAGAGCATTAGGTCAACAACATTGTTTGGATGCTGCGTTTCCAATGGGGTTAGATGCAAGATGTCACCCTCGTTGGAGCATAAGCTTTGGAGCGTCAGTTCAACACCATTCAACACCATTGGGTACATGGGGCGTGAGTACATGGGGCGTGGGTACATGGGTGCATGGGACTCGCGCGGCACTCGCGACAGGGTCGAAAAGACTCGCGTGGCACAGCTCTTGAAGAGCAAAGCAAGCAGGGCAGCATGCTGCATCTATGTTTAGGGGGTAATCTTCACGATAGTCCTAACCTTGCGTTCTGATTGGGGTTCGGTCGTCACCAAAACGCTGCAAACTTCGACATAAAACTAGTTCTTTCCTGCACAGGGGCAGTGAATTCTTGATGTATAGCAGTTTTGACAAACATACTTCCGTAGAGCGTTTACATTGTGTTTTAACATAAAACGGGCGACTTTTCGCGAGCCGGGTGACCTTTGACTAATGCTGCGTTTCCATGCGGCCGGGTGACTTTCTGCAAACCCGGGTGACTAAACCCCAGCGCTAGTACCTCCTTCTCTATTAATCAACCGGTATAACTAGGCTAGAGCAGTGCTTCTGGTATTGATCGGAACCTATGCTGCAGCAAGATCGAGACCCATTCTGCTTTCTGAGCTGAACCAAACAAACCAGGACGCCTTAGATGTCTACTTCTTCACCAAGCAATGCCTGGAAACACAGGCGTGGGCAGCTTCAGCTTCAAGAAGCTTGTTGGGCAACTGCTGTTGGTCCTGATGCTTTTTGTTCCGCCTGTATAGTTGCTTCTGCAAAGATGTGAAACACTCCCGCTTGAGAAGTTTGCTATTTTGCCTCAGACGAAGATGCTCTGGAACACATTCCCTTTGTTCAAGGAAATCGATGGGTCCTTTATTACTGTGAAGTAGAATATACACGAAAGATGACCTGCCGAGTTCATCTTTCGTCTACGTCTGATGCCGATGCACCGGAGAGGATACCATGTCAGATGAGCCCTTTCTGGAGAAAATTCGTTTTGGACCCATTTCAACAAGCACGTGGTGAAACTTCCAAGACGAGATGGGAATGAATTAAAGGCCATCCACTTTCCGGCATTTTTTTGACAAAGCCAACCCAGCTCATTTAAAGCTGAGTTGCTTCTAGTCCCCACATCGATCCCTGGAGCTCTTCGTCTGTTTGCTCCACCGCGTGCCGCGCTGGGCCGCGCCGTGTCAGGCGGAGGTGATCCCTGAGCGCCTCGACGCCAAGGACCCCAGCCTTGCCAGCTTCGGCGGCGCCGAGGACGACGCGTGACCGGGATCGGTGAGGAAGGATAGACCTGATCGGTGTTGCGTTCGTCTATGGTTACTTCTTTGTGCATTCGTCTATTTATGGTTTTTGTTTTGTTGCACTGAGTGCGTGGGTTTTGCTGTGTTTGTTTGTTTCTTTCTTTCTTTGTTTGTTGTACCAATTTTGTTTGATTCTTTGAGCTACTTATTTCGTTCTTGGTCCTCTGGTCTCCTTACTTTGTTCTTGATTCCTGAGCTTAGCAGTTTTTTTGAAGGATAGAGTCCTTGTTGAGGGCACATGTAAGCTTGAGGAATTACTCTAATAACTATATGAGCAAGGTGGACGTGGGATAGGAAACCAGCATGGAACCTGCATAACCGATTGGGGCCATCTACAAACGCACATGACCAACCCGACAAAACCAACATAACTGAAAGTGGCTAACCCATTCAAGGCTATGTCCACAGGCTAAACAAGATATTTTGTGGAGTGGATAAAAAACAAAATATAGGATACAATCTTATGTTTCGTGCATGGTTCCTTCTTTTTTTCCTTCTTTTTTGGTTCTTGGTTGCAAACGGGGGTGGCAAACAGTTTTTTTCATTGAGAGGTTGGATGCCTTTTGTCGAACTCACAGTGTCGTTTTGGAGATTTTGGGTCGAGCATGATTGTGTGAGGAGACAGGATAGGCGATGCCAATAGATTTTGCTAGAGGTTAACAGGATGTCCACACTTAATGTCTATGGGAAAGTTGTGTGGTGGAAATGACGGATAGACCTGTAACGACCAAAACATCAAAGCATTGTTTGTCTCCTGCATGTCTACTCAACTCGTCCAATATGCTTTAGGAGGACTTTGCTGACTTGCCTGAGATGCATGATTATCTCCTGTTTGGAGGAGCAGGATGATGTGCTTGGCCAGCGCTGTGAAGATGTGCTGAGCTCACAACCCTGCTGAGCATAGTTGCACAAGTTTAAAGCAACCAAGGGTCACTTGGTATTGTCTCATTAATGATTGATGGAATGGCTCAAACACCCAGAGAACCAGTTTTCCCCACAGTTTTTCCAGCAAGGTCATCGATCCTGCCTTCGAAGCTTTTCGCAGCAACATTGCAGAGGCCTTTGTGGAAGATTGTATCTAGAGTCGTCGAGTCGTCGAGCTTGTTCTAGCCCTCTCTTTTGCTCCTGCCAATGTCCGACCTTGTTGGCGTTCCGCCCTTCTTCTCCTTCAGAGGCACGCTATCTCTAGTCCACGATCCTCGAGCGGTGTTAGGATGAAGCATGAGCAGGAAGTCGCTGCCCATGGTCTCCAAGTAGGATGAATCTGTGTCGATGGCGAGTGCCACTCATCAAAGCATTTTTGAAATAATGCAGTTAAGTTATGCTCTCTTTGTTTTGGTCAAAAAGTATCTGGCTTGGTCCCAACACCTGCTTTGCGACCCTACGCAGGTGCGTGCTCGCATCGCTGAGTCAAGACCGGCTGACGCCTCAAAGATCACGCGCTGCACAGACTTGAACGTTGAAGCACCTGGGTTTCAAGTGGAAGCAATGACATTCACAGCCAATGTATGTCAGAATCTTTGATCCTCAAAGGGAGTCCAACATAGTCAAAGTCAAGGTGAGTGAACAGCGCGAGGTCTCTGCTTTGGCCTCGCGATGCGAGCAGCGCGTCATCGCCCAGCGTGCTGCTGCCCGAGTGGCTCGCCCAGCGCAGCGTGCTCCCGGGTCTTTTGCAGCTCTTACGTCCTTTGATGAAAAAAGGACGTCTTTGTATCGCTTGCCCGTCCCACCCTATGGCCGGTGCCAGTGCGGCAGTGTCTTGAGCCGGTGCTACTGTCAAGAGACTTGCTAGCTGCACAGCTGCCCTGTAGTCATGGTTTGAGGCGGTGCTGGAAAACCTCAAGAGCCACCGAGCAGCGCATGATACTGAGAAAACAACTGTTTCATGATGCAGAAGAACAGTACATGTCGCCAAGTGATTTTTTCCTGAGAGTTAGGGCAGTTAGGGGAGAGTCCAAGAACCAAAAGGAACATGATATTGTCTTGACATGGTCCATTGTCCATTGTCTTCCCTTCCATTTATTAATCTCCGGTATATATGCCAGTGGGACATTTGTGTTCTGAGCTTCTGAGCCTTAACTTTAGCTCATGGAAAGAACCCAGGTGCAGTCGCTCCATTTCCTTGCTTGTACAGAAGAGCAACCGGGTGTGGCCCACGACTGTCGCTTTTCATTTGCATCACATTTTTGTTGTTTCTTTGATCCCTTTCGGAAGCCTTCGGAAGCCTTCGCAGGTTCAAGTGAAGCTGTCGGATTGTTTGGAGAAGGTCTCCTACTCAGGTGAACCCAACAGATCACCTTAAAAATAAGACCAATCTACGGCCCTTCTGAAGCGACAGGGAATGGGATGGCCGCCTATGGCGGCCTTCGGGTCTTGAACGCTGTAAGCTGTAGAAAGCAATGCTGAAAGCTGTAGAAAAGAATCCACATCCTCGAGTGGTGCCGTGTTGGCCCGAATGCCCTGATCATCCTGAGGCAGAATCTGCCATGAAGGCCTTGGAGTCTGCCCGAGCCTGAAATGTTCCATTGCTTGCCGTCAGGTCACACGAATGGATTTAGCTGGAGAGATTGGCTGTGCCAGTTCTGCCCAATCTACTCCAACGGCAGAGGGCCGAGGGTGAGAGCTTATGAGTGCCTTGTTGGTCAGGTCGAGCTCCACGAATCTTTACAAAGCGAGACTCGTCCAGCTGCCATGTGTGTCCGTCAGGGATTCTATGCCCGTTTTTTCGGGGCTTGGAGAATCCGAAGTGATGAAACGTTTAGGAAATAACGAAAAGATAGAAAGAAATGGCCAGGGGGGCTTTGTTTGATGTGTTTCTTTTTTCCTCCATGATTCATTTGCCGTTCATTTTTCTTTTATCCACCTGGTGTGAGTCGGCACACTGGCGCCAGGCCGCTGCTTGGCGGACGTGGTGCCACGGGATCGGTGTCTCTGGCATGTTGGCGCCTTCCTTTTGGCGCGGTCGGATGCCTTCGGATGAACTTCGGCATTTCGTGGCTTCTCTGGTTGAGTTTTGTGTGGCACAGGATCTTGCGCTTCACTGGAGCCTTGGAGGTGGGAGCTAGAGTGTTGGGGGTTAGATGCTTGGTGTATGTCTGCTAAACTCATGTTGGCCAAGCTTGTGTTTGCTATGCCGTGTGTCATTGCCCAGCCAGGACCCAGTAGTAGATTTGCACGGATTTTGTTCGTTCAGGTTCCCCAAAAACGTAATCTTTACAGGCTTCTGTGAGTGACAGTTTACGGTTTTGGCATGACGAGATTTCCTTCCACTTCCAGGGTGAGGGCGCTCAGCTTCTGCAACGCCTTGAGAAGTTGCAGCGCCAGGACACTCCTTGCGAAGGTGTTTTTGACTGGATCATGAACTTGTGAATGCTGGGGTTAATGCTTAGTGTTTTGGGAGCTGGTCAAGCTGAGCACCGACCAGTTGATGTGAAACGGGGTGTGTGACATTTGTCTTCGAAAATAGCCTTTGCAACCGAAAAGGAATGCGTCTTGAGATCACAGGACAGTCAGCTTGAAGGGATGTGCGAGCAGGTCGCAGAGCGGGTTGGGAATCTCAGACGGCGCTTCGTGGCGCTTCGAAGCACTCCCCTAGTAGCGTTCTTGTTACTAGTAGCGATGCCAGGAGCCCCTAGTAGCTTCTTGTTCCTAGAAGTAAGGCCATGAGCTACCAGTAGCATCCTTGCTCCTAGTAGCGATACCCTTCGTTCCTAGCAGCTTCTTGTAGGCCAGGAGCTACCAGTGCGGTGCTACTTTGTCAAAAGGGATATTCATCGGAACCTCCAAGGGCGACTGTATATTCATCTAGTATCGATGGCCTCCAACCTCGTAGAGGAACCTTCTCCGTATGTTGTTCATTTGGAATCTTGTGCTCTCGGATCAGTGTTCATCGGTTCTTTGATACTTCTATAGCCTTACATAGAGAGCAGGTTTTTCGCCATAGTGCCCATTTTGGTCGCTTCTCAGGTGGAGCAACTGATAGAAGAGGACAGTGCTCGGACCTCAGAGGGGATGATCGGAAGGAACACACGCATCTCAGTTGAGAAGCCTTTTTCTTGTGCGCAAGTTGCCGAGGTAAGTACCGAGGCCAAGGCAATCCATGAGGAGCAGGCAGAGTAGTCTTGTCAACATTATCGCGGAGACAACGATATAATATATAGATTAGCCATTTCTAAAGACATTCACACCAATAAAGGAAAGACATGAAGTTGGTCGCAGTCATCAGAACTCCTTTACACTGCAGCTGCTTGGTGCTCCCACAACGTCCCTTCTTCATCGCATTTGTGGCATTCCATCTCATGGCGGATTTGGTCCAACCAAAGAAGCCTGCAGGAGGTGCCTATGGCATTTTCATGGCTGCGCATCGTGCAGAGTTTCAGAAGGCTTGCGAAGGACGGCCAGTCACGGAGGTGTCTAAGATGGGAGGTGAGAAATGGAAGCTTTTGAGCGAGGCAGAGAAGGCCAAGTACCAAAAGCAGTACGAAGATGCGAAGTCCCAGTATGAGAAGAAGATGGCGGCCTTTTTGAATGCTGGCGGTGAGAA